TATGACTTTATGGCTTATACTCTTTTATTGTCTCAAGGCTTGTCATCTCTTGTCTTTTCCTTCACTTGACTATAGAATCTATCATCCTGTCATATTTTGGTTTACCGTTATCACCCATTTGTCACATCTTACTCATAATGATTCATTTACCCTCTTCTTATTCTCCTGCTAATATTTTTATCTATTACCTTATTCTAAAAACATCAACAAAGCATTTTTTCGCTTTTAACCCCCCTTGCTCCATCCACTGGCTCTATGGGTCGCCTAACATTCTCTCTTTACTAGGAGAGGGAGCCACACTAAAGTAAATATTTATCCCTTTAGGATTCCAGTGCCTATCTTCTGATTTTTCTGAACATTCTAGTATTCATATTTAACTGTACTATTCTAGCGTGCACCATCTGGGTGTCTCACAAGAAGAACTATTACCACATTTGCAATATCCTTCAAAAATGTCAGCTAACGCTAACAACCCATCAACAATTTTAGGTTACTTTAACCCAGTTGGATCCTGATATCCCTTCCTTTTCTTAAATAATATCTGTTAGCTCCCATAGGGAATAACTGAGATGGGTGTAGCCAATTGTACCTACCTCTGTTACTATTGAAGGTAACTCAAAATGCTTGTATTTCTCTAGCTGAATTGTAAATACTGATAATCTTTACTAACTAAGTACCTCGTACCCTTTTTCACCTTACTTCTGTTACCTGTTGAAACTTATACTTTTACCTTCTAATACTTCCATGTCCTGTTATTCACGAGGTGTGTTTGATGTTCCCATCTTAGGGTCTTAAGATGGAAATTTGCTTATTTGGCACACACGATCTGATATGGCCTCAAACAGGGCTACACTGTCAAGAACTCTCTCTCTATTAGTGCCCTTACCTGTTACTGTATTGGTCCTCTGGCTAGAAGTAATCTTTCTAATTGCAAACATCTTTATATCATTAGCAAACATAAGTCATGACCCAAACTCTTAGGACTCAGCTCTATAGCAAAATTTGGATTTGAAAGAAGGGTAACATACTCCTAAATGCCTTGTAGCTTCTTGTTTATATAATGTGGTGCACAACATTTCTTTAAACAAAGATCTACTAGACACAGCTTGTGGACTCCCTAGGATAGAACTACTCAGATACCAAGTTTTAATGCCCCAAACCTGGGGAGGCGTGGCCAGCACCCGGTGCCATACTCGGCCCTAGCGTACCACTCTGTAATCGTGGACTTGGAAGGGGTAGCCCCTTAACTGAGGCCGATGAGGCATACCTACGAGCTGATAATACTAATCAAGGACGACGAGGCCATATTCTGAATAATCTAAAAATAACGTCTCTCTCATCTGGGGGGTAAACATACCCAAAAGTTCATATACATAACTGTCATGCTAACGAGGCTTCCATGAACGTCTACAACCAGCAGTACCAAACTGAACTGCACACAGGGCTAGTAAGGCCACAATACTAACATACAAAATATACAGGACTTGTCTACATGCCTCTAAAGATAATTGAACTGTATCATGGTTGGGAATGTGCCTCGACCTACCCATCAAACCTGTATATATAAAATGGACTCTAAGGTCTAGACCCGATAACTACAAGGAAGTGAACCTTACCAACTAAGCTAATGTTTGACTCTATTGACTGGGAAGGTCTATCCAGCTGTCTATCAGGACCTGCATGCATGAAATGCAACGTCTCCGACAAAAGGGACGTCAGTACGAAATAATCTACTGAGTATGTAAGACAATAGAATAACTGAAGGCTAAGACTAAACTGATAATATAATAACTAAAAGTAACGGGGAGTCAAAGATGATCTGAAGATATGCTTACTTGCTGATACTGAATCAACTCTCTACATATAATGAGTAAAATAGTTGTCTGGCCCTATAAGGCTCGGTACTTGCAACTACTCTACCATAGTAGGCTCGCTCATAGGCGCTCGGCCATACTAGACTCAGTATCTCATCCATTCTAGGTTAGCTCATAGGCGCTCGACCACAATAGGCTTGGTATATAACTTACCATCTGATCAGAGGTTGCCCAATAGGAGCCTGCCCACCGATTATAGCTCGCTGATGGTGAAAATATTGTAATACTATATATATATAGACCCTCTGCTCTCTTGACTGGAAGAAGACAATACTTAACTGAATATAAAATCCCGATAAGAGAGAATATTGTAACTAACGAGACTAGGATAATGTACATAAATTCAGTAATACGAACTTCTCTTTTTATCAAAGACATGTAGTTACAGGATCATGCCAAAATGAAGGAAAGGTGTAGCCTTAACATACCTTATGACAATCTGTCCAATATCTATGTTGAAATCGTCTCATCGCACTTCAATCAAAAACAATGATAATAATGCTATTGTTAAGCTACGAAAGATGCAACTATCCTACAATGAATGACAAGCTTATTTTATATTAAAACGGGCAGCATTTCCCCTGTTTTCCTTGCTTTTCCCAAGTCCATAAAACCAACAAGAACACATACAACCTTCAACTATATACTTTCAGCACCACAATACACCCAACATCCCAACAACACAAATCACTCCACACAACAACAAGTAAACATACGTCACCAACTGAACTACTATTTAACACGATGAGCGGCAAGCTTGAATTGGATTCCTTTTGAACCATTTAACTCCAAAGTCATCCATTAATTAACTTTAAAACATGTCCAGCATGATATCAAGTACAATTGGAGGACTTCTAACCTCCTATTCATCTCCAAATGCACTCTCAAACAGCTCAACAATCCAACAACAACAATATGAAAAACTTCTAGGTATTGTGTGGTCGCTTCTTCTCCTAATAATAATATCATCACATAATCAATATATTGACAAGCACAAAAATAATAAAAATATTATAACCAACATATTCCCCATGATTTTCAGCCATATTAAGTCATACATACAACTCCAAAATAGTCCAATAAGAAACAACAACTTCTTATACCATTTCAAGTGCTATATGGTAATTCTTCATCCTAATAACCTAACCAACACATAGATAAGTTTAAGCATAAGAAATAGTGTATTATACTTACCTTAAGTAATTAGAACAAACTCAAACCAAAGCTTTCCTTAGTTTACAAGCACCCTTAATGGCATCACAACACCATAAACACTCTCTTCTTCACTTAGGCTAACATTTGTGGTTAGGTCTAGGTAAAACTACCTTGGACTCGACTTGGAAACTTAGAGAACTGTTAGAGAGGTGTTGAGAGAGTTTGGGAACTGTCCTTGGTCAAAAATGACCAAAAATGAGCCGTGCGGTTCAAGGGTCGTCCACCTCCTAAGTGGGTCCCAATGGGAGCTGCTTGCGCAGTCTCGCAAAAATACAAATATCTCTCTAATTCGATGTCGTATAGATGAACAGTTTAATGTGTTAGAAACTAAACTCATAGATATTCAATTTGGTGAGTGGATAATCCCGTCATTACAAGTATATTTGGAGAAAAGATCAGCTACATTTGACCTAATATTCAGCACATTTACGAAGGTAACTTGTGATGACCTTTACCAACTTTCATTCCGTAACTCGCTTGACTTCAAAACATAACATACTACTATTATACAACTAAAATAACTCATAACATAACCTTCTTATCTTGTTAAGCACCCTAGTCTCACTCCAAAAGTACATGTTATATAACAATCCCAACTTGTCGACTTTCGGCGAACCTTATTTTCTTCAATTCGTTTAACTTCTAAGCCTTACAGCCCTCTTGGTACTTGCAGTTTATGATCTTAATTATCTGTAACCTCCAAGGCAACATGATTAACTTACTTTATGTACTTTCAAATATGATCTCATTTCTAAGCTTACATCACTTGACTTACGACGTACTCTTACGTACAAAAATATGGGGTATAACAAGGAGGCAGTCACTGACCGTTCTGAGAGATCTTGATCATGGAAATCCATTGGACAAAGGTAGAGCTTGATTTTTTTATGAATAATACCTTTTGAATAAAAGTGTGGAAGATGACTAGGACTCAGAGAAATTTAAAACATGAAAGCTTGAAAAAGATAAGTAGACATGTAATGGGAGTTATACCTATCCAAAAGGTGCAACTTTAAGAGCTGCTTGCAATTGCATTTGACCACGTGCACAAAGCATTAAACGGAGGCGATGCCAAACATCATGCACTTGAAAGGACGCTTGATAGGAACAACACATCTTTGACCTTCATCTTTCCTAAGAAGCATTGAATGTGATTCAAATGGAAAAGTCCGAACATGTGTTGTTTGGGTGTGTCAAGAAGGCATAGTGCCCCAGTAGCCTAACGGAGTTAACACTATTTGGATATCGACTTTTGCCTCACGGATATGTCCTCATGGACTGCGATGAATCACTTTGAGATCCAGAGAGGCGTAGCCAACACATTTTGAATTCATAATTTGCTGCAAATGGAATGAAAAGAAGGAAGGAAATCTTTTTTTCATATACTTAACGAGGGTCATTACAAACCGAGGTATGGCCTAAAACAAAACAAACACAAGAAAAGAAAATAAGCATACTAAAAAATTCTAGAAAAACGGCAAATGTACTTAAAGCTCCTAGACACTAGAGGGACACCCTCAATGATCCTCACTCGGGGATTGCGAATCTCGAGATGAATACCTGACTGAAGGAGGCAAGGAAGTTGGTGGACCATTCCAAGGGGTCGAAGGGCCAAGAAAAAAATCTAGAGGGTTCTTCATCATTGCCTTCCTCTGAAGGGTCAACAAGTTCTTAATTACCAGAGAATCCACCTTCGGGGGTGGCCGAGAAGTATTGAAAGGAAGAGTCAAGACATGTTTGGGTATGCCGAGCAGGCATAGTGACCCATCGGCCTTACCGAGTTGACACTATTCGGATATCGACTTTTCTTTCACGGATACACCGTCACAGGACTGCAATGAGTCCCTTTGAGACCCGGAGAGGAGTAGCCAACACAGCTCGAATTCATAATTTTTGAAAAAGAAACAAAAATAAGGAAGGCAAAGTTCTTTTCATATACTTAACGAGGTTCATTACAAACCGAGGTATGACCTCAAACAAAACAAACACAAGAAAATAAAGGAAGCAAACATGAAAATGCTAGCAAAACAACGAACATACTTAAAACTCCTAGACACTAGAAATACACCCTTAATGACCCCCGCTCGGGGACTGCGAATCTCGAGATGAGGGCTTGTCTGAAGGAGGGCAGGAAGTTGACGAACCACTGCAAGGGGTCTAAGGTCCAGGGCACGAGCGGGGGGTTCTTCATCGTTTCCTTCCTCCGAGGAGTTAGTAAGTTCTTCATTCCCCGAGAATCCACCTTCGAATGTAGCCATATTAAAAATGAGTTTAGCTTCCTCCATGGCCTGTCATGTCTCCTATACTTATTTTGCTAAGTCGGAGATCCCTATACAAACGCCCTCCAAAGTAGATAACTTGGACTCAAGGAAAATAAAATTATGCCCCAGCTTTGACTGCAGCTTTAACCTATCAAGTTATTGGGCCATGTGATCTCTCCCCCCTTGTAACCTCACCATTTCGGCTTGTTAAGCGTTGATTGAATCCTTCCAATCCAAGAGTTTGCTCAAGGTATGATGCACATAATTTGGCCTGAACTAAATCATAAGATAAAGCAACGACCAATTGGTTTACATCTGCTTCCTTCTAAACTAGATGCCTCCAGGTGCTCGACCTTACTGCTGTTCATGGTGCCGATTTCTCGATCCCCTTATTCAACTCCTTCAACTCATCCTTGGCCAAACATGCCAATAGTTAGTAAGCCTCTTTTTCCAAAAGCATATTGGGACAACGAGTTTCCCAGTCCTTGACTTTCTGCTTCAACTCTTCTATGGTTCTTTCGTTAAACGAGAACCTTTCTTCGATCCAGATCAAGATCAAGTTTGCCTACGCATAAACAATTTGACCTTACATACAAGTTAAACAAAGAGGGCAAAAAGATAAAAGATCGAAAACATTACTCGAAGGGTGAAATGAAGTACATCATTTGCCAGTGTGGTTTCAGATTTGGCAGATAACTCCTCCCTCTCGAAGGGGCGTATCAATCCTTTTAGCCATGACATTCTCTCTCCCGAGTTGTTCGGAGGATTAAACTCCATTGGTACATTGATTAAGACCGGATGAATTCTAGATCTCATTGAAGAACTAGCAGGGGGAGTAGAAGGAAGCAGTGGGTGTGGGCGAACAGATCTTTCAACAGGATCGCCTACAACAACCTTTTTTTTCCGATCCAAGTCGGGGATTTCTCTTCTCACTGGTTCCGATCCTGGGGACTCCGAACCCTGATCCTTTACGACTCCTATCGCTGGCTTTGAACCAGGGGATTCCGAGCCCTTATTCTCTAACACAATAGGGGTGGTGTCTCGGGGAATATCAGTTTGAGGGGAAGCTTGAGAAAATCCTTGGACACCGTCAGATCTTATAAAAATTTGTCCTCATTCTTTTTGGTGGAAGGACCACCAGAGTGGAAACTAGCAAGTTTGCTCTTCTTTTCAAAGTAGACAATTGCCTGACGCTTTCCGTGGAAGAGTCAACAGAAGTTGGGAGCCTAGTAACACTTGTGGGACTGCCTTCCTCGGAGGAATACCTATAGAGGAAACAAGCAAAAACGCATTAGGAATAAAAAATTTATGAGACCAATAGTTGAGGAGCAGCTAGTTCAGATACTTATTATGATCCTTAGCTCGCCACCCCTAAACTTCCGATACAAACCTCCAAGATCTCTCTGTTTTCGAAGAGCTTGCCAAGCACTTTCCAACCCACTCCTTGATATCCAGAATGCTCTCCGGAGCTACCAACATGGCTATAAATAAGGGAGAAGGAGAATCAAAAAGATGGAGAAAAAAGGGGAAAGGAAAATATAATCTGACTAGAAGGAAGTATCCTTACGTTTGTTATTCCACTTCGGAATAGGCTCTTACTCGAGCAGAATCAACTCCTGAGTGGGGAATGCGATAAATCGGTCGAGCCAACCCTTATCGTGGTCATCCTCTGAATCCATGAGAGTCCGGGTACCCCGACTAACCATCGAAATAATCCCCTCTCCCCTTAACGGATTGGGAGAAAACAAATGAAAAAGGTGCGAAAGAGAAAATTGGACGTCAGCAACAATCATCAGGAACTAGAAGCACGCCACAAACCTCCATATGGTCGGCCCAATTTGGCCCAAACACACACCAAAATAAAGATAAAAGTCAAATCAAGGGGTCTATCGGAGGTACAAATCCAAAGGTAAAAGGGTAAGTGTAGACAAAAAAAGAAGCCAGACATGTGGCTGAAAATTCTTTCGTTCGCCTGAGGAACGTGAATGGTGACATAGTCGCTCCAACAACAATCACGAAAGATTATGGTAATATGTTCTTCATGAACAAGGGAGTCTATATTGCCGACGTGAGAACTCCCAAATTATCCTGCACCTTGTTCTAAGCCTCAACGATCCCCCTCATAATTCAAGTTTTTCGGGAGAACCTCTGGGACCAAGGGCTTAGAGCTTTGCTTCCCCTTCCTACCTTTGTGAGGTTTGGAAGCTTTCTTCTTAAAAGTGGTAGTAGACAAAGCCCTCAGAGAAATAGAAGAACAGAAGTAAGAGGGTTCTGTTACAGATGAAGAGTGCCTATAATTATATGCGTTGAAGGTTAGTCAGCTGCTGAAGAAGGGTCAAAACTTTGAGAGTCCATGAGGTTAATAAAAGAGGAGATCAGAAGAGAAGGGTTAGGCGTAAGTTAATGACTCAAGAAGAGAAACAAATGAGAAGGTTAGTTGAGGAATTTAAAGTTAATAAGGAGGCCAACAACTGGGTATATATAGGCAAAAAATATTCCCTTTCATAACCGCCAAAGTTGGGAAGGATTCCTATCATAACTGACCATCATTACTTGGGGATTGTAATAGATGAAGGAGTTGATGAGAGGAAGCCACATGTTCTAACATATTAAATATGGGCCACGTCAATCTTAATGACAAAGTCTTATTAAAATTCTTTTCATACTAGAGAAGGATACTAACTAAGGCTGACTTCCACCAAAAGGCTACCACTTATCGAGCATTCGACGTCAAATTGCCCAACAAGTGGGGGCTATCTGTATTGATAAAATTTATCATTTTCACGTGGCAAGAGAGACCTAGGAATACATATGGAGAATGGAATCTGTTATCGAGTTTGACGACCCTTACTTTGGAACCTCTGACTATTAGAAGAAAGGGTATTCAAAGAATAAATGTACGCACTCGAAAATTGGTTAACTGTGCCAGGAAATCGTGGATATCGACGTTACCCTGATGCAGTTACAATTATCGAGGATTTCGCTGGCCACTACCTAATTTCCTAGCGTGCTAGTCCAAACTTCGGAGTGGCGGTGCTCTCCCCCCAATTATAAAATCCATTCTCCTGCCTCGAGAAAGGGGGCATCGGCATAGGGAAAGAAAAAAGAATTCAATAGCAAGTTATCAGTTATCTTCGTTATTTAATTTTGCCTTAAATCTTTGCTTATCCATTGCAAAGTTCACTCACATTGTAGCCGATACAGCTCATTGAGGTCGTCTATAATAAATTTTTCTTTATCATTACATTTATTTAATTTCATTCATTATTGGTTTGCTTGCTCGAAATTTGGATCAAACTGATTGCTTGAGGCCCTAAAATACAAATTCAATTTTTTTTTTCGAACTAGATTTTTGGTCAAACACTGGTACCTATGGTGATTCCTGTTATGGTTTACAAACTTTCTATTTGATACTAGGAAAAAATATAATTTTTTACAGTTTTTAACAAGCCTGAGATGGGCTCGCGATATGAGTTGGGGTATGCTTTGAATATTTTTAATTTTTTCAACTTTGTTAAATTGTTTGTTTGGTGACTTTGGACCGTTGTATGGGCCCCCCTACGTCTCGTGGTCAACTTAACCAATTATTTAAGCAATAGTTAATGCTCCAAGAATGCAGGACTTTACATTATGCACCTTCACAATTTTTTGAACATCCTTGTGATCAACATAGCTTGAGCAAGGACGTATTACTTAGCGAATGTTTTTTGTGGATTTATGAATATCACTTAATAGTTGATTTGGATGTTATATATATTTGCTATTTCTCTATATTTGAGAACAATAATAAGAATTTATCTATGTGTAATCTCTTAGTTTCTAAATTGATCGATTTAATATGCCGTCGTTTCGTCAAAGTGGAGATCACATCTTAAACCTAGCCATTTAAAATTTATATCTCTATTTGATTATTGATTATTTTGAGAAATTCAATAAGCAAAACCTTTACAAAATTATAATGTTTTATGGCTTAAAATTTGAGAGTACATTTATGTTTGATGTAAACCAAATGAAAATCAAATATAGGTACATGCAACATATTCTTAATTAACTCAAATGATTTATTGAATGCCTCGTATCTCAAACAAGTCTCGGACAATATTTTAAGCATAATAAAATTTGGAATGGTTACATTGTTGGTGGGAACCTACAATGTTCATACAACAGATACAATGTAAATACTGCGTCAGGAATAAAATGGCCAAGACTATAGTTGAAAAAAAGAATTTTATTTATATGACGAAAAAGGACCCCTAATTACCCGTTTTAAAGCTACCTTCAACTAATTTCCAAGATAACAATACTTTTCAAAATATAGCAACTTAAAAAAATACGGGGTATCACTTGAGTTTTGGATCCAAATTTTATTATCCTTCCAAATACTTTAACCCTAATCCTCTTCCCTAAGTTCTCTGTAGCTGAAACCACCATCCTCTTTGACAATCGCCGAAGCAGAATGAAGATATGAACTGCTATCGTCTTCTTCATCTGCCGCCATCCTATTCACGGGTTTGCTCTTTCCCTAAGTCCTTAAGTCATAGCACAACACTTTCCTCTATTTCATCGTCCTTTTTGTCGTCCTCTTCTACTAGTGAGAACTGATTGAAATCTTCTTCTCCGGCGAAAGAGATCTAGAGCAAACTCTCTGTCACGATCCAAAATTTTACCTTAAGGATCGTGATGGCACCTAATCCCCAAGACTAGGTAAGCTTATCACACAACCACACCAAACCGAATATAACAACTTAATATTTAAATAAAACTGAGAAAATAGCCCAAACAATAGTCAATATTATAATACAACAATCATAATCACAATCCCAAGATCCGGTAATACCGAGTCATAAGCTCTACAAGAGGTATATAATGAGTCTCAAATACATAACTATTTGAAATACAATAAACAATAGAAAGGAAATAGTAGAAGGTGACTCCGAGGCCAGCGAGCGAAACAACATGTATACCTTAAAGTCTCCACAACAACTCAGAATCAACTCACTAACGACTGGCACGCTCTGAGGTACCTGGATCTGCATAAAAATGTACATAAGCGTAGTATGAGTACACCACAGTCAGTACCCAGCATGTCGGTGGAGTAGTAATGAGATTCAAGTCAAGACACCCACTAGTAAAATAACATGTACAATGTATCAAAGACTGTCAACAAGCTAAATAATAGAATGCAATAACTGTAATCTCATCAGAACAAGCGATAATAACTTAATACAAGTAAAGTCTTAGTTTCAACAACGAGTCATCAAATAGATCACACACTTATGGTACCTCGTGCCCACATTACCAATCACCCTTGCACGACAAAGAATTTGTGCCACAATATCATTCACACTTGCACAACAAAGACCTTGTGCCACAATATAAGTTACAATTGCACGACAAAGGCCTTGTGCCACAATATAAGGCGCACTTGCACGGCAAAGACCTCGTGCTATATAGTAATCTGATTCTGTATCACATTAGAGAACTATCCGACAAGTCCAACAAGTACAACTCCCCATCGGTACCATACTATGAATTCTTACCCCAAGGGAGAAGCAAAACACTTAAAATAACCACAAATAATCTCATCCTAACATAACCCACTACGTCACGTAGCCCGGTCCAAACATATCGGTCCACATGGAAACACGAGGATCCCTTCCTCAACTTTGAACCACAAGTAAGATAAACATTTCATCAACTGAAACACCTTCACTAACACAATCTCATAGAACAAAATCACAACACACAACAGACTCCCCATGCCTGTAGAGCACCTCAACCGCAAGTCGTGGCCAACTCATCCCAAACTTACGTCCAAAATCCATCATATTATGTAATAGAAGGCCAACCCTAGTCTCATGACCCCCAATGATGACCAAACAAGAATGATAGGCACGGTCTACCATTATAGGATCCCCCAGCGGGTGTAGGCACATAAATAAAGGTACATATAAATCACGAGGCATACCGAAACATGAAGCAAAATAGGACGACACATACAAATAAGTAGGACCGGAATAAAATAAAATTGTTGCATCTCTATGACAAACCGGAACAATACCTGTAATGACATCAAATTGTGCAACGTCCTCAGTCCTACAAGGAAAAGCATAACAACTGGCCTAGCCTCTCCCTCTACCCGATTGTCCCCCATATTTAGCTGGTTGTGCAGGTGTAGTAGCAACTGGAGTGGAAACCATAGCATGAATACTCTGCTGAGGCACACCCACCCAGAGTCTGGGACAATCTCTCACTATGTGCCTGATATCCTCACATTCAAAGCAACCTCTCTGCTGACGTGGCTTTGGGAGCTGTCAGGAATAAGTGCTCTGGGACCCATGGATAACTGGAGTACCACGTGAAACCTGAAGAGCAGACTGAACTAGTTGACAAACAAAACCTCTACCATGAGGCGCCCTGCCCCGAAATAGAATCAGTAGATCCTCTAGGTCCATGAGGCTTCTTGGACTCCCTATCCTCCATTTCAAGACCGCGGATACACTCCAACCTACTAGCGATATCCACAACCCGATGAAATAGAATATCAATCTCCAACTCCCATGCCATCCCAAATCTAAGACCATAACTGAGCCCCTCAATAAATCTGCAAACTCTCTCTCTAATAGTGGAAACCAAAGAAGGTGCAAGACGACATAACTCAGCAAACCTCATAGCATACTCGGACACAATCATAGTCCTTTGAGGCATCTGTTCGAACTCGGTGTTCAATGCATCCCTGAGGGTTTGTAAAATGTACTCCTTCAAAAATAGATCAGTGAACTAAGCCCAAGTAAGTGACGTTGTGCCAGCTAGCCTACTCTCCTCATAAGCCTGCCACCATTTATATGCCGGCCCCATCAGCTGGAAAGTAGTAAGGGCGACCTCACTCATGATCAACTCCACTATGCCCATAGTGTGCATAATACAGTGATACTGGTCTAGAAAACCCTGTGCATCCTCAGAAGCTGCACTATTGAAATTAGGAGAAAAATACTTCTTGAACCTCTCTAACCTCTCATGCTCCTCCGCTGATGCTACTGGCCAAACCTCAAGCTGAACTGTAATCACAGGGTGCATCGGCAAAATACCCGGAGCCTGATCAACATGATCCCACTACTCTAGAGTACGAGCGATAGGAGTCTGAGCTCTTCCTCCAGTCTGAGAAGTAACTGGTGCAAATAGGATCAATCCTTATTGGGCCAAGGTACCAAACATACTCAGAAAATGTGCTAAAGTCTCCTGAAGTCCAGAGGTAGTAGCAGGTGCCTCGGGTGCCTACCCCTCAACTGGAGCTACTGGTGGCTCCTCAGCTGCTGCTCCGACAGGTGGTCTAGCTGTAGCACATGCACCTCATCGACCTCTACCTCGGCCCCTGGAAACACCAGCCCTGGAGGCAACATCATCAGTAACTGCAGCTCGTGTCCTCACCATCTGTGAGAGAAATGAAAGACAATGGGTCCAACTCCAGAATCAATAAATTCGCATATAAGGAATAAAAGAAGTGAAGTTTCCTAATAGCTCTGTAGCCTCTCAAAGATAAGTACAGGCGTCTCCTTATCGATCCGCAAGACTCTACTAAACTTGCTTATGACTCGTAGAACCTATGAACCTAGAGCTCTGATATCAACTTGTCACGACCCAAAATCCCACCTTAAAGATCGTGATGGCATATAGTCCCTAAGACTAGGTAAGCCTATCACACAACAACACCAAAAAGAATATAACAACTTAATATTTAAACAAAACTAAGAAAATGGACCAAAACATAGCCAATATGATAATACAATAATCACAATCCCAAAACTCGATAATATTGAGTCATAAATTCTACAAGAGGTACATAATGAGTCTCAAATACAGAACTGTTTGAAACACAATAAACAGTAGAAAGGAAATAGTAAAAGATGACTTCGAGGGCTGCAAGCAGAACATCATGTATACCTTGAAGTCTCCAGAGAAATTCGGAATCAGCTCACTAACGACAAGCTCTGAGCTACCTGGATTTGCCCAAGAATATGCATAAGCGTAATATGAGTACACCACTACACTAGTGGCGAGGTTCAAGTCAAAACACCCACTAGTCAAATAATTTGTACAATATATCAAAGATGGGCAACAGGAAGAATAATAGAAGGCAATAGCCATAATCTCATCCGAACAAGTGATAATAACTTAATACAAGTAAAGGATCAATTTCAACGAGTCATCAAATC